CTTTGGCAATGATTACAGCCTCTAGTCTTCTTGGGTATGACGCTACAAGCATGGCACACCTGTATTTGGGGAGTTTCTCCCATTCTTCCCTGCAGATCCTCTCAAGCTCTGTCAGATTGGATGGGGAGCGTTGCTACAAAGCTATTTTCAGGTCTCTCCAGAGATGTTCGATCGGGTTCAAGTCCGGGCTCTGGCTGGGCCACTCAAAGACGTTCAGAGACTTGTTCCAAAGCCACTCCTGCATTGTCTTGGCTGTGAGCTTAGGGTCATTGTCCTGTTGGAAGGTGAACCTTCACTCCAGTCTGAGGTCCTGAGCGCCCTGGAGCAGGTTTTTATCAAGGATCTCTCTGTACTTTGCGCCGATCATCTTTCCCTCAATACTGACTAGTCTCCCAGTCCCTGCCGCTGAAAAACATGGTGCCAGGTTTCCTCCAGACGTGACGCTTGGCATTCAGGCCAAATAATTAAATCTTGGTTTCATCAGACCAGAGAATCTTGTTTTTCACAGTCTGAGAGTCTTTAGGTGCCTTTTGTCAAACTCCAAGTGGGCTGTCATGTGCCTTTTACCTTTTACTGTATATAAACCCTGGATTGCTGATGCTATGTATTGGCCAATGAGAGGCTTTGAAGCCACCCGTCGGCCATATTGGCACTCCCCAGAAGTCAGGGACGAAGCAGTCCTATACAGTATTTAAATTAAATGTTTCAAGGACCAAATTAGTATTTTTTGTTGTAGTGGGGACAGTGACAGAACTTTAAAAAACATATACTTCAAGGAAAATGTTTTATATTTATATATTTTTTTATGTTTAGCTCACATAATAAAAGTTTGCATTAAGGTGTCTGTAAAACAATACATGTGGCAAAAACAAATGTAGACATTAATAAATGCATTTCTATACCTTCCAAAATATTTTATACAATGGTGGGTGAGTGCCAAAATGGAGGTGCGATGGCTTCAAAACAGCACCCCCTGTTAGTCATCTAGTGTATATATAAATTGTTTGTCTACACCATAGTATTTCATAGCATATTTGTCACTCAGTATAATCTAGTCTAGTGATTCTACTCAGTTTCTTATTTAATTAGGCCTAGAGTGTGACTTGCGGTTAAGATATGTTTTGCTTCATTGTGATTTTACATTAGATACTGAATAGGAAATTGTGTAGAGTAGGGTTATCATATCGGATAGAATAGCCATAAAGAAAATGCAAGTTATTTATACTATACTGTATGACTTTGCAAGACTAGCCTATTCTGTGTTTCTCTTTGAGTATGTTGGTCTCTTTTCTCTTATATTATGAATTCTATAGCCTACTAAACATCTGTTAAAGTAAGAAAACAATTCAGTTCTTATAGCTCATATAAGTGTGGGCTTCCATCATTACATTCCCTACATTGCTTAATGTCAAAGAGCAATGGGGTAAAGTTATAAAGGTCAAGATGCTTGGGGTTACAGAGATTTACATAATACTGGGAATGACTCATGTATTTGGCATTTACCACATCATCTTTTGCCAGAAGTAAAGCACATGTACCGTTACAAACACTATTTTCTGCTCTTAATAATGAGCCCCAAAAGTGTAATGTGTTCTGTAGAGTGTCTCTACCACATAGGGCTGGAAATGAAATTGGAGGCTTCCTGGCCCCATAAATCATCACTGCAACAAGGAATCTGTCAGAAACAGTAAAGAAGCACTGTGGAACTAGACCTCTCCACCAGTGCAGCCATGCACTACACTGTTTTTGGATTTGTGGGTGTGATTTTGTGGCAGGGGTAAGATGGAAGGGAGAAGGTGTTGTTCAAAGACCAAACGAGTTGGTGAGTTGATGTTATATTTTGCAAGGACCTGGGTGATTGTGGCAATTATGAATTATGAATTATTCTCTCTCTCTCTCTCTCTCTCTCTCTCTCTCTCTCTCTCTCTCTCTCTCTCTCTCTCTCTCTCTCTCTCTCTCTCTCTCTCTCTCTCTCTCTCTCTCTCTCTGTCTGTCTGTCTGTCTGTGTGTTGTTCACTGTTGCTTTCGAGGTTTGACCGATGATGAGAAGGCATGCACTCAGGCTCTGGACCAAATTATCCATTTGCAAGCAATCACAGGCCACATGCAGTGGGTTCCATCAATTGTCCGAACTCTGTTTTTGTTTTTAATGTTGTTATTTTTCTATCTTTGGAACATGAACTTAGATCCCAGGTTAACATTGTATTTCTCTTCTTCCCTAAAAACCAGATGGTCCATCTACTCTGTACTTGTGCTTCATACTGATTGACGGCCTTGAAATGAAACATGACAGACTGCATAGTGGATAGCCTAGAGGTTGGAAAGGCAGGCCTGCAATCAGAGGGTTGCTAGTTCAGATCTCAAGAGTGATTTCCCTGATCTTAAAATGACAAGAGACAAAGTATTCTCCTTGTGTCTGATTTTAGTCTGACATTGTGTCAAACTGTGTAGAACCTCTGGTTGCAGTGTAGTCCTTACATTTCATTGGTGTTCCTTCTTGACACAGTGAAGTTTGCTGAGCTGTTCATCACTGATGGTAATAAAAGAGCAGCCATTGAGCCAGCACTCCTTTCATGTGTCTCTTCTGCAGGTCTGTTTGAGACAACTCTACTGCAATGGCCCACACAAAGGAGCTTTGATGTGTGACACTCAGCTCCCCTCTGTAGAAATACCCAAATGAGTAATTGTCCAATCCCATTGATATTCTCTTCTTCTCATACCAGAGGTCCTCGACGTGATCAAGCCTTGCTTAGCAGGGCTGTGTGTGGGGGACTATGGGTTAGGATGGGGGGGGGTGTCTGTTTAATAAAACATTTCATTAAAACCATTTGAAGCCGTTCTATTACCTTGTATTTTGATCGTTTCTGGATATTGCAAATCAGGCTGTTAATTAGAATCTCTCATTGAGGTGTACAGCGACAGCTACCACAATGACATGAGAGGGACAGCTATCAATAACGGCCATCCCTACTTCGGCACATGTTCAGCTCTGCACATTTATTTACATTTACTGTTTCAGTCAAGTTGAACAGCAGCAAGCAATCAAATCAGTGGAAAATATGGTTCGTTGAAATGTGGCACATTAAGATGGTTTTGTTGTTGTAAAAATGAATAGTTAGCTCAAGAAGAAGGACAAAAACCCAAGGATGTAATACACGTTTATATATTTATTTTAGTTTTTTTATTTTTACTTCTCATTACATGTATACGAGAAAGTTGCCGTCACATCCTACAAATACAGGGACCTGCTTCCTTTTCTATTTAGAAAGGTGGACTGAAATCACAAAACATTCCAAATATTATATAGCATAATTAAAACGACTCATCACATTATTCTCTGGAGATAAATTAAACAAAGGTTGAGAGTTAATGGAAACATGTTACAATCTCTGATAGGGTTTGATTTGGGATTGAGTAACAGTTCAAACAGTGTTATCACAGAGAAAAAATTATAATAATAGTTTGTCTGGAGAGGCACAATATCAATACAGAGTTTATAATGCATTGACGTATCTACAATATTTAGGCAGATTTAAGGCAGAAAACACCGGAAGTTGTTTATCCCAACAACAAACACTTAGGAGAAAATAAGTTAACAATTGATTTTGTAGTCCCATTGTAACTGGTATATACCAAGAAACTGCTAAAGATGGGTACCAACCAATCATGTATATAAACCCTGGATTGCTGACGCTATGTATTGGCCATTAAGAGGCTTTGATGCCACCGGTCGGCCATATTGGCACTCCCCAGTATGAGCCGTCATCCATAGGAATGAATGGAATTCGACAGTATTTCAATTAAATGTTTTAAGGACAAAATTACATGTATTTATTTTTTGTTGTAGTGATGCTTTAAGGGAAATGTTTGAATATATTTTTTTTTTTTATGTTTAGCTCACATAATATAATTTAATATAATGCATTAAGGTGTGTAATATAATACATGTTGCAAAAACGAATGTAGACATTAATATATGCATTTTTATAGCTTTCAAAATATTTTTTTCAACAGTGGTGGAGTGCCAAGATGGAGGCACAGTGGCTTCAACACAGCGCCCCCAATAAGTCATCTAGTGTATATCTAAATAATTGGTACCACCCAGGATACCAATTATGTAACAATAATTATGTGATTACCACTTTATTTCCAAGTAAATTCCAGGTAAATAGCGGACTATGAAATAAAGCATAACCAAAAAGGAAATACTTTTAGCAGCGTATTTGGTCTCATCTGCTAACTGCATTATTTGAGGTAATCCTTTTAACTTGCATGTTGGTGAGGAACTATTGTCGGTTAAAATCTGTTGAAAAAACCTTTAAGACATCAACCATTCGTCAGCCACACAGCGTAACTTTACTTATCACACAGAACAAATTACATTATCTGCTATTCTTTGTATGAAAACCAGTTATTAGTAAACGTTTTCTGTTTATTAATCTTATTGAATTAATTCTTCAACACACAAGATACTTTTCTTTAAAAATCTCCACTGCATGTAATGTTTTGGGATTTTGATGAGACAATTTCCAAAGCTGGTTCTCACTGTGGTTGCTTAAAAGGGTACATCATTAAAAAAAAACATGCAAGGGTAATTTAATGTGACTGGGTCATGTTTTTTAACTGTTAATAATGTAACAGAAAGAAGTAATTGATGATTAAGTGACTGCATCGTGTCCTTCAGTCTTACAACCTTATCTTAGTAAGATAGCTGTAGAAATCTGTCTTGTGATCAGACCTACATTTTCCTGTCCAAAATAAACTGTATACTGACAGTATTTGAAGGACTGAATATTAATTCATATTAAATGTTTTCTCTTTACATTAAAGTCTCCTCTTGCAGACAATTTGTGTTTATTGTACTCACTGAGCTACAACAAAAAGACTAGTTGAACACTCCATGAGATTGATCTGTATCTGCTGAGTTGGTTCTTGTTCAGGAGAATATTGGTAGTGACATAATGTGCCTGGCTGGGTTCTTGGCAACATAGGTGCTTCTATGGAACAGGACTCATGTTGAGGGAGTCTGTGTGGATCTCTGGCATAATGGTCCTCTCAGGTCTCAGACACACGGCTAGGCGCTGGGAACAAGTAACAAGAGATAACAACAAGTGTGTATGGTTATTTAAACCATTTGCCATCCACTCATCACATATTGAAATATATTAACTATGTGCTTCTTTTTAGGAAAATAAGTCACACTGACCACACACTACACATCCATTTCTTGTCAATAGCCAACACAGTACATGAGTCCATTAGAGGTCCAGACCTGTTTCAGTGATCCGGGGGTCCACACCAGCTTGTAGACCATATAGATAGGGATCCACATAAAGGAGGAGGCACCGATGATGTAGCCCACCGTGATGCTCCAGTCTGGGTACTTGTAGTCAAAGAGTTGGAGGCGGGGTGGCTTGAGCAGGGAGCTCACTATTATATACTGTGAAAGCAGAGAGACAAAGACAAACAGTAATGTCAAGTCTCAAATGTCATGCTCATATTTTTCTCAATTAGAATTCACATATGTGACAACGGCATGCACCCTATTAGATGCCTGTGTGCCTAAAAAAAAAAGCAGAAAAGCCATTTCAATACATAAACATTTCTATCTTTATTTTACGAGCTTATCACAGACCATCGAGGGAGATGAAAGCAGAAACAATTTAGCCCATACAGAATAGGGGGAATAATAAAGAAGCTCGCTCAGTGAAAATGACAGCTCTTTCAGCAGCGGAAGGCTAAGAGAAATTAAAGGAGATGTATGCAAAGTGGAGGCAGGGATATTACGTTATGCAGGTGAATGAAATTGACATTTAGAGGAAAAGGATTGGAGAATATGAGCCATTGAGGCTGGAGGGAGCTGTGTGTCCTTTACTTCCAGAGTGAAGAATTGAAGATGGAGAAGGGTTCTATGCTGAAAAATATGGTCGGTAACACTTTACTTAAAGTCTGCACGTATAATACATGATGGTGTTGTTATAATACATTGTAGTACTTGTCATGAACATTTATGACCCTCTTATAACGTCTTATAATCATATCATAATGAGCCTGATTAAATAAGAGCCATTTTGAGTCAGTTGAAATGTTGATACTTAAGAGACATGGCATTTTACAAGTCGCATTTTAAGCCACTTAAAGGCTGATACATGCTTATTACAAGTTGCAAAGCGTAATACCTGCAGGCTTTAAGCAAAGTATTACCATACAATCTCTAGCAAAGTCCAAATGAAATGTTAGCACATCTGATCCTACACTGACCATCCACCCATGTCATTTAACCTGCCATGTCCATTGATCCGGACAGGGCAGGTTACCAGAAAGGGCCATGTGGAGGATTTGACATTTGCGATATATAAGAGGTTTACAAAAAACTGTCACGCCTACTCCCGTTCCCTCTCCGGCGCTCGACGTCGCCGGTCTACTAGCCACCGGTCCTGGCAACCCACATTATGCACACCTGGCAACCATCAGTACGCACACCGGCTCCCCATCGTTATGCACACCTGGACTTCATCATTACCTTGATTACGTCCCTTTTATTTAGCCCTCAGTAGCCTCAATCTTCAGGCAGTATTGGTTTTGTTCACATTCAGTACGCTTCTCCTGTTTTGTTTATCTGCTTATTCTCATTATTAAACTCACCTTCTGCACCTGCTTCCTGACTCCTAGTGTATACGTTACAGAAACTCTGTGACAGGGAGCTGTAGGTCAATCAGATTGAGTCACCTGATGTGCGTCAGATTTGTGAAATAATGGATGATTAACACTGTTAAATCAGTTTTAAATGTCTAGAATGATGGTATGATGACAAAGCTTCCTTTAATGTGGATCCAGTAGTACATTTGACAATATATTCCATAATTTCAAATCTTATCGGTTGGTTGCCCTCCGTTTCTGCTTACCGCTAGAAATGCAGGACTGATGGCCACCCAGCACACCTTCCAGAATAATCCAGGAGAATAGCCTAACATGGATTTAATGTCATTGCTGAATCTCGTGATACCTGAAAGCAATACAAAATTGAAAAGAGAGTATTCAACAACACTATGATAAGAATTTGAAAAAATAACTATAAAAACAGTTTCTTGTCATGTGAAACCTGAACAATTTATTTTTGTCCATATGATTTAGAAGTCAGTAGGAAGCGTAATGCATTACTTCTGTTTTTACAACCACAAGAAAACATAAATGAGGATTTCTGTCTCATGCAAGATACTACTGGGAGTATAGGAAGCGTAAGATGGATTATCACCATTAAATCACCATTCTTACCATAGAACCAGGAAACGGCGATGGCCTCAAGAAAACCAATTGCAATGATGGAGGAACCGACCCCAAATTCCTCCAGCAGTTTAACCACATAGGCCCCGCCCTGAGAGAAACACATGCCTGTCACTTATGTGGCGAAAGGTTCATTCAGGACAAGTTGATCAAACTAGTATAGATTGTTAATTTATCATTTGTTTCTATTCAAATGTAATTATATAATTTATCCTGTGCCATCTTATAACGACTACTGTTGAATCAGGAGCTTCCAGATCCCTAAAGTGCCCTAAATGATATTTATTTTACTGTCGTAAAGTTTGTGTCTTCAAAGTACTACATTCTTATTTACATGTTACCTACATTGGTAAGGGTGCTGAGGGAGCCCAAAAAGCACACAACAACCAAGCCCAGTACAAACAGCTCCCGTCTGTTCGCCAGGTAATCAGGGTATTCATCCATCACAGCAGTAATGATAGCCTCCAGTCCTCCAAACTGAGACAGAGATGAGAGAGGGCCACATCAATGAACATGATTACATACAGTACCAGTCAAAAGTTTGGACACAACTACTCATTCAACGGTTTTTCTATATTTTTACTATTTTCTACATTGTAAAATAATAGTGAAGATATCAAAACTATGAAATAACGCATATGGAATCATGTAGTAAAAAAAAAGTGTTAAACAAATCAAAATATATTTTATATTTGAGATTCTTCAAAGTAGCCACCCTTTGCCTTGATGACAGCTTTGCACACTCTTGGCATTCTGTCAACCAGCTTCATGAGGAATGCTTTTCCAACAGTCTTGAAGGAGTTCCCACATATGCTGAGGACTTGTTGGCTGCTTTTCCTTCACTCTGCGGTCCAACTCATCCCAAACCATCTCAATTGGGTTGAGGTCGGGTGATTGTGGAGGCCAGGTCATCTGATGGAGCACTCCATCACTCTCCTTCTTGGTCAAATAGCCCTTACACAGCCTGGAGGTGTGTTTTGGGTCATTGTCCTGTTGAAAAACAAATGATAGTCCCACTAAGCGCAAACCAGATGGGATGGCATATCGCTGCAGAATGCTGTGGTAGCCATGCTGGTTAAGTGTGCCTTGAATTCTAAATAAATCACAGACAGTGTCACCAGCAAAGCACCCCCACACCATCACACCACCTCCTCCATGCTTCATGTTGGGAACCACACATGCAGAGATCATCCGTTCACCTACTCTGTGTCTCACAAAGACACGGCGGTTGGAAAAATATCAAATTTGGACTCATCAGACCAAAGGACAGATTTCCACCGGTCTAATGACCATTGCTCGTGTTTCTTGGCCGAAGCAAGTCTATTCTTCTTATTGGTGTCCTTTAGTAGTGGTTTCTTTGCAGCAATTCAACCATGAAGGCCTGATTCATGCAGTCTCCTCTGAACAGTTGATGTTGAGATGTGTCTGTTACTTGAACTCTGTGAAGCATTTATTTGGGCTGCAATCTGAGGTGCAGTTAACTCTAATGAACTTATCCTCTGCAGCAGAGGTAACTCTGGGTCTTCCTTTCCTGTGGCGGTCCTCACGAGAGACAGTTTCATCATAGCGCTTGATGGTTTTTGCGACTGCACTTGAAGAAACTTTCAAAGTTCTTGACATTTTCCGGATTGACTGACCTTCATGTCTTAAAGTAATGATGGACTGTCGTTTCTCTTTGCTTATTTGAGCTGTTCTTGCCATAATATGAACTTGGTCTTTTACCAAATAGGGCTATCTTCTGTATACCACCCCTACCTTGTCACAACACAACTGATTTGCTTAAAAGCATTAAGAAGGAATTCCACAAATTAACTTTTAACAAGGCACACCTGTTAATCGAAATGCATTCCAGGTGACTACCTAATGAAGCTGGTTGAGAGAATGCCAAGAGTGTGAAAAGCTGTCATCAAGGCAAAGGGTGGCTATTTGAAGAATCTCAAATCTAAATTTGTTTAACACTTTTTTGGTTACTACATGATTCCATATGTATTATTTCTAGTTTTGATGTCTTCACTATTATTCTACAATGTAGAACATAAAGAAAAACCCTGGAATGAGTCAGTTTTGTCCAAACTTTTGACTGGTACTGTATGACCAAAGTTCAGGGATAATCTGTTTACATCAAGTTAGGCAAGTCTCATTCTTTTGATGAGACACTTCAACCCAAGTTCTGTCATACCGTGCTGTCGAGCCCAAGAGTGATCATCATCACAAAGAAGATTATGGCGAAGAACGTTGACCCTGTCATGTTGGCTATGGCCTCGGGATAGGTGATGAAGAGTAGGCTTGGACCTGGGAATGAGGTGTTGGTGGGGGGGGGGGGGGGGGGGTAAATCCCATGTTGATAACAATCTAAAGGCTGCAATCTCCTACTATTGTAGTATATATATAAATACATTCCTATTGAACATGTACAGTCAGTTACAACAGTATTTAAAAAAAACATACAAATACACTTAAAACAGGTATTGGGAAAACGTTTTTTTTAAACGTGGTTTATCTAGAAGAGTTTTGGCCACTAACCTTTGTCTCTGGCTACATCCTCCACATTCACATTTCTCTTCTCTGCCATATACCCGAGCACAGTGAAGATCACAAACCCAGACATGAAGCTGGTCAGGCAGTTCACCAGGCTGGTCACTATGGCATCACTACGGCGTCACAACATAGAGACAAACATGGTGCCTGTCTGATCATCTCAAGTATTGTCATTCATTCATTTATACCTTTCTCTGGTTTGGTTGTGAACAGTGGTTACATTGGGATTTTGTAAATGGAGCAACTGTCACCAAAATGGATTACCTTTGTAAGACATGTTCTTGACTGAGCTCACTTGCTAGCAAGCAAACACAAACAGTGAGTGGACCATTGAGATGTACAGTATTCTAAATGCCATTTCTATTTCTATGGAGTGGGCATTCACTTTCTTTTCATTAAGATAACCCTGTCAGCAAGAGTAAGTCTATTCAGATTCTGTGTGATTCATGAAGTTCTCTGAGAAGCAGCAGTGCCATTGTTTCCTCATGTGTGCCACTGTTACTGTACTAATCACATTAACCATGCACATGACAGCTGTCTTACAAGGAGCATACAATTCAATTTCTTCAGGAGAGCCCCGTGATCCATTCATCTCCCACTATGCTGGACTCACCACTCCCTTCTCATAATTGTAATTACATTGTCTTAAAGAGTTGCTGTGGGACATCCATTTCAGCTCATCTATTCAACACATCATAAACAAATCGCCTTGATTGGCCGGTGTTTCCTACCTCCCCGACGACACAGGGCTGATGCGAATAAAAGTGAGGGCTATAGTTAGGCTTCCTAAGACGCATGTTTTTGTCACTGGATGTCAATGCATGACGGCCTTTTATGAGAGAGATTGGAAACGCTACCGTGGAGATCCAGCCATACAATATACTCCTACATCACTGGTGAATGGGGCATTCAGGAGGAGCAGCCTCCTCTTCCATCCTGGACACACTTACCTCCTCTGAGTCATTCTAGTTTGAACTTTTTACTTGTTTGGAGGTGATTGATGTGGTTGACAGTTTCTTATGCTCTCACAGGTGTGTGGCTCAGTTGGTAGTGCACTGTATTCCCAAACAGTTGTACTAGCTCATAAGTAATAAGGTCATAACAGTCAAATGTCGTTATGCAGTTGACCAAACTATAAAGTGTTGAGCTCTGTTGAGATTTATGCCACTTTAATTGAAGAGCGCTCAATATTTTATAGGTAATTTGTGTGGAACGCTCAAAAAGTTTAGGTAGTGTCATGACGTTATCGACGTCATGACGTTCTGGTGGGTGGGTCATCTCTCCCTCAGGAAAGCTGAGTCAGCCATCTTGAATTTGCCGAGATGCGGGGTTGTTTGGGCCGCCCGTGTGGATGTGGAACACAGTTTAATTTGTTTTAATTTGTTTGCAATGCGCACTTTTATGCTGCCCGCTTGAAACCACCACCACCTCCGTTTTTATCATTAGTCTTATTGCCCTCGTTTTCTTAAGCGCCATCTTATCATCACCTCTGATTTGGTAAGTAACTCTGTTTTTTTTTCATTTTTTTTTTTCAATTGAATTTCGATAGTCTTAAATGTGGAACTGGGAATACATTTGTACAATGTGCACAGTGAATATTTGTTGTAAATAGTGTAAAAATCCAAGTAATTGTAACTTTAGAAGTTGTTAAATATGTGATAAATACGTTACGTTACTTCATCTTACAACGGTGTAACGTTATCAGCAGGTTTCCTGGATGAACTACATTTCCCATAATGCATGTTTGCCCGGGACATTGACGGTGGAGGAAGGTCCATGAGTTTTCGCTGTTCGCCGGTAATGCAAGTGCGTACTGTGATTATACTTATTTCAATAAGTGTCTGCCTTACACAGTAAATATTTTACGTTATCGAGCTGTGTGTACGTGTGTGCTAGCGTGAAACGAACAATGCTAAACAACATAATGTGAGTGTGTTATCATTATGCTAACCAGGCCTGTGTTTGTATTTCTTCCTAGGCTCAAGTGTGTGGTTGTGAGATCATCTCGAAATCCTTTTAACAGTTCAGGTAGGATGTATTATGAAATAGTGTTACTAATGTAATACATTGCTAAAACCAAGTATAGAGTGTATTTGTTATAATTCATTGGTATTAGATTTAAAAGGTGATCGAATAGCTCCTGATTTGTAATGTCATTAATGCATTTCTTTTGAAGCAATGTTTTAAAAAAATGTACAAGTGAATAGGTTGGTTTACTTTTAAGTTTAAATTTCCCACGTATCTCGTTAAAGTTTTGACCAATGAGCTAACTTGTTAAGTTGTGGCCAATGGGAGAGTGGACTGGTTGCCGGGAAAGAAAAGGGAGGGAAAAGTTGAAAGAAGGGAGAGGAGAGACGTTAGTGGGGTTGGTGAAGGAAAAACGACCAAAGGAAACGATAAAGAGAGAACAAAACCATACCTACAGAGTTTTTTTTAAGGGAAATCCTGATTTTATTTCTATAAGAGAGTGTTTATTATTTAGTTAAGAAAGACCAAGTGGAGACTGAAGCTGCCGTCGCATTGTGGAGACATTCGACATCCTAGAGGTTAGCCTAGCATCGTGCAAGACTTGGAGAGAATTGCTTGTGACGATCAGTTCGGGTTTCCAACAGATGTCTGTTGCTGCTACCGAGTACTGGCTGCATTGATAGCTGTGTTCGCGGTGGATCTTGTGAGGACACCTGCACGGAACTACTATATTTTGCTGAGGCATTATCTACAAGTAGTGAGTAACTACAAATGTGGGGTGGACTTCGGGACTTTATGTATGTCGTCATTTTTTTTATGAGCTCCAACGCGCGCCCAGGGTTTAAGCAAGCTTGCAAATAATTTGGACATGGGGTTGTGGAAAAATCATTGGGGTTTATAATTTGTATTTCTTTTGATGTGATACATTGAACATTTGATTAATATAGATCTTGAACCTTATGTCTGTTGTATTGGTGGAGTCATTTACTGTTTCAGTTTCATTTAATGCATGGGAAAGCATATCCTTACAACAATAACCAAGTCTATAATCATTCTATCTGAAGTTAATACCCTATTTGTCATTCACCCTAGCAAGTTTACAATAGGGATTCTTATTGGAGATGTCCTTCTCACCTAATATCCCATGCTGTTCAGATATTCTAAATAAGGTAATATCGTGAGAGTCAAATTCGAGCCTGGTGAGAGGGTTACACTAATAATTGGTTTTATTTTATGTGTTTCCACAGTCATTCTTTTGCTATTTCTCTAAATGTTTTTATCTCAACTGTGGGGTCAACAGTTGATCACTTGAACCCTTTATTAATACTTTGTTAAATACAAAGAACAACAACAGAAATAGCAGATCTATAAGCACACAACTTTGATGCTTTGCTTGTTAATAACTAACTTGCTTATCTTTTAACATTTTCATTTTTACTATAATTAGTGTACAATGAATGTTTTTGATATTTGTGTAATTATTATTGTAATGGATATTTTTTGTCCATGTAGGAACAACGTGATGTAAATATGAGACGGGCCCTCGTCCTTCGTGCACTTCCTGTGTACCTGCGTGAAGATGCCTCCCAAGTTTTTCAGGACCTGTAATGTAAGTGTACTGGCCTCACTATCAATCCCTTTGCTTAGCTATTCAGTCAGCTTAAACATGACATCACTCAAAGAACTCTAGGAGAACCAGAGGGGCATTCCAGAAAGCAGGTTATGTGAAAACCATCAGTATAGCCAATTGTATTTTTTCCAACAACGTAATTTCAAAGTCCGTGTTTCTAGTTTGTCGCCGCATTGAGTATGAGATAAAATGTTTTTATATTTCATTTTCAGCCGATTTTAAATAAAACAAAATAGCCTAAAATAAAACATTGAACAACATTCAACCACTTCCTTAAAGGCTAATATAAAATAAAGTGATGTTAAATTCAAAATGAAAAGACGACTGCATCTGAAACTCTGTCAGTGATTTATATAACAGCCGCAGCCAGAAAATGTCTGCTTCCTGTTTTCTCCCGTTGCCATGGTGAATAACCGTATCGGAGCTCCATTGATGATGGCTTTTTACTAGTCGTCAGGCACAAGCTCAACTCCGAGTTAACGTACTCTGAGTCAACTTACCTAACTCAGATCAGCTGTTCTGTAACTGAAAACTCAGTTTCACTTCACGGGGTAAGTCAACTCTGAGTTCAGGGTTAGGCTCAGTTTGTTGAACCTCCTTTCTGGAATAGCCCCCAGAACCTGTTTATGAAGTTTCCTTGAGTTGTTATTCTGCAAACTGACATGTAGAAATTACATAAATGAAAAGGTAAGTATAAAGAATTCCACTAAACAAAAAGTATGCTTACAGGTAGGTGTGAAACTAACATAAAATAATAAGCATGTGTAAAGAAAATAGTTTAAACATGTAGCTTAGTTGCAGTCTAAGTGCAAAGTGACCGTAATGTCTAGACATCATTAGCATGATTTGTATCCTTGAGGGGCTGAACTCATTTTTGTATTATTTGTGTTTTATAGTCAGCAGATGGTCCAGACCTCACTGACACTCCGGTGGCTCTCCTGACAGTTGTCACTGATGATACTACTGATGCGGCCCTCTTCAGCCCTGAGAGCATCTGTATTGTCGTGGAAGATGAAATACTTGTGAGTGGTCCCACAAACCTGGCTGACTCATTTCTCCTGCTCTTTGGGTATGTCTATGCACTAGACCTACAGTACCCAAAGAATCTTGAGCTTACATTCACATTTATCCAAAAAGTTGTGATGTGTCTTGAGGACAACAAACCACTGAAAGGCCGTCTACTGACACTGAAGAATGATTTGTTCAATGAGTGAATCACTCAGAATGGACTATTTGTTGAGCTGAGTATTGAGGATGTTTTTAGTTTTTTTCCCCTCTTTACAAATGTAATAATTTGCCTCTTCTACCTCATGTTTAATATGTTACACTGTTTGCCTCTTCTACCTCAGATTTAATACATTGATTGTTAATAGATAAATATCACAACATTGACGTATTGCCAAGCCCAAGTTTTTGTACTGTACTTGTGGGAAACGACTGTTGAATTCATGCACTATACATGTTTAATGTTGTGTGACCTAATGCTTACCTTGATGTTGCCAGTTGAAGTACGGCACAGTAGAAACCAGTACTTTTATTTGAATGTTTTATTTAAAAAAAGTGAGTTGCAGCCTTCAAGGTACAGTAAGTGCCAAAACGTTTTAAATGGCTCCACATTCTAATAGTTGTCATTGCTGTTGAGGATGGATTATAATTAGAATCTTATTGAATTTTATCATGAAGCCTTTGTGAGTTTTTATCATAATGTTTACTGAATAGTGTGATATGGAGACCCAAAATACTGAATCTACCCTCTGTAGCAATGACCACTATCAGAATATGGAACTATTAACACTTAATGTACTTTAAAACACATTTTGTTTTTATGGAGTCATTTCCTTTTCCTTTTTTGTTTTAATTTATGACAAGCACTTTGTTTTGACTGAGCTCCTTTTGATTCGTGCCTTTTTAAAAGCACATTGTGTTGAATAAAAAAAAAGTTAAATTGTCACTGGTGTCACTTTCATGTTTTCTAACATTATTCGCTGATTATAATTGTGTAATGGACCGACATCAGTATTTCAGTTTAGAATTAATTTTGTTTGCATGTCCCACATTATGAGTTGAAGAATATTGAAAATTTTGAGTGTATTTCACACATTTATGAGTTGAAGAATATTGAAAATTTTGAGTGTATTTCCCACATTATATGAGTTGAAAAATATTGAAAATTTTGAGTGAATTACTCCCTAATTATAAGTTGAGGAATATCAATATTTATAAGATAACATTGAGATAATTTAAGGCAACTGTAAATATAATTTTTATTTTATGTAAACTTAAAACATTTAAAAACATCACTAAAATATTTTTGTGTAATCTGTTACAAAATAATTTTTGAGTTATGTGAACTTATTAGGGTTTACAGTGTGTGTGGCGCTAGCAATGCCAGGTTTGTGGGTTTGATTCCCGCTGGGGCCACCCATACGAAAATGTATGCACGTACATTTGGATGCAAGCTTTGGATACAGGTGTCTACTAAATGGCATATGTAAACACAGGCAGATACACTGAGGGTAAAAAACATTAGGAACACCTTCCTAATATTGAGTTGCACCCTCTTTTGTCCTCAGAACAAATTTGTCGGGTCATGGACTCTACAAGGTGTCGAAAGTGTTCCACATGGATGCTGGCCCACGTTGACTCCAATGCTTCACACAGTTGTGTCAAGTTGGCTGGATGTCCTTCGGGTGGTGGACCATTCTTGATACACACGGGAAACTGTTGAGCGTGAAAAACCCAGCAGCGTTGCAGTTCTTGACACACTCAAACCGGTGCGCCTGGCACCTTCTACCATACCCAGTTCAAAGTCACTTAAATATTTTATCTTGCCCATTCACCCATTGAATGGCACACATACACAATCCATGTCTCAATTGTCTCAAGGCTTAAAAATCCTTCTACGGGATCGATCGGTGTCCCTAACGTGTTGAGCTAACGTGCGCTAATGTGATTAGCATGACTGTTGTAAGTGTAACCAGTGTGAAATGGCTAGCTAGTTAGCGGTGCGCGCTAGTAGCGTTTCAATCGGTGACGTCACTCGCTCTGAGACCTTGAAGTAGTTGTTTCCCTTGCTCTGCAAGGGCCGTGGCTTTTGTGGAGCGACGGGTAATGGTGCTTCGAGGGTGACTGTTGTCGATGTGTGCAGAGGGTCCCTGGTTCAAGCCCAGGTTGGGGCGAGGAGAGGGACGGAAGCAAAACTGTTACATAAGTAACAGCAAACTTTCCAGGACATAGACATGTCTTATATGGGCAGAAAGCTTAAATTCTTGTTAATCAAACTGCACTGTCCAATTTACAGTAGCTATTACAGTGATAAAATGCCATGCTATTGTTTGAGGAGAGTGCACAATGACAAAAAACGTATCACGACAACTGGTTTGATACATTCACCTCTGAAGGTAAATAATGTACTTACATTCAGTAATCTTGCTCTGATTTGTCATCCTAAGGGTCCCATAGATAAAATGAGCATCGTTTTGTTTGATAAAATCCATTTGTATATTCAAATGTAGGAACTGGGTTCTACAGTTTGAACCCCTGCTGTCTCTGGCTCCACACCCACCCATCCAGATGTGTGAAAGTTAGTGTATAAGCTAATGAGCCATCATGTATGACATTCCTGGGACTATGCAAACTTACATTTTGTATTACCATATCATTTTTATATGTTCTTTATAGTTATGTACTTGAAAATGTAACAATTGACCAATTCGGCACATTTGGGCAGACTTGATACAAAATAGTCTGGTATTGCAATGCTTCACTGGATCAATCTGAAACGTTGCACACACAGTGCTGCCATCTAGTGGCCAATATCTAAATTGCGCCTAAACTGCAATATTATATTGTGGCCTTTCTCTTGCATTTCAAAGATGATGGAAAAAAACAAGAAAAAAAAATGCATGTTTTTTGTTTGTATTATCTTTTACCAGATATAATGTGTTATATTCTCCTACATTAATTTCACATTTCCACAAACGTCAAAGTGTTTCCTTTCAAATGGTATCAAGAATATGCATATCCTTGCTTCAGGTCCTGAGCTACAGGCAGTTAGATTTGGGTATGTCATTTTAGGTGAAAATTGAAAAAAAGGTTTCGATCCTTAAGAGGTTAACCTGTCTCGTCCCCTTCAGCTACACTGATTGAAGTGGATTTAACAGGTGACATCAATAAGGGATCATAGCTTTCACCTGGATTCACCTGGTCAGTCTATGTCATGGAAAGTGTATGTCATGTTTTGTACACTCAGTGTATATTTATTATTATTTAAGGGAGTTTTATTATCAGCTCTTACCGATAACAGTTGTTTGTGAAGGGGCTGTAGCTGGAGAGGGCAAGGAGCACCCCAAACCCTGGCCCCAAGGAGAAGAAGATTTGAGCCGCAGCATCTACCCACACCTACAAAACACATGGAGATGAATTACCCTCAAATGACTGAACCTGAGGGATTTACCTGCAATCTCAGAATATCAGATTCAGTGCTTTGACCTGTATAGTATCCCTGTGTATCTCAACAGTATAAAGACCTATATCAAGCTACTGAAGCCTAACTGTTCCTGTCTGTCAGCCAGCCTCTGTCTGTCTGTCTGTCTATCTCTCATAATCCTCTGCTATTGTGGAGCTTTAAATGTAATGCTAATTACTTTCTCATTTTCAAATGTTTCTCTATTGGACAGCTGATTCCCTCCAAGTATCCAAATCATTTCATATCTGTGCACAGTGTTTCTTAATAGAAATGTATATAATAAGTCACAGATAACACTTGAAATTAAAGTTTGCACATATAATAATATATTACTAGTTAATGTGCTTGCTGAAGGCAAGACCACTCTAGATTTCTTACATACTCATTACTATTATTCCACTCACTCTAGCACTTAAACCACATAAGCTATTAACACTAAACCAACTTTAGAATGTGCATTATAAATGATACTGTTCTTTAACCATTTCAGCTGCAAACATTAAAACAACTTTAACATTTTCAAAACGTCATAAATTATAGCAATTTAAGTTTGCACACATTTGCATAAAATAACCCACCAGCAGTAAGAGTAACTCTTGAACCGTTCAAGCTAGAGACACCAAACCAACTTTTATATGTTCAGGCTATCCTGTCCTATCAACCATAAAAATTTAAAGACAAGCTAGCAAGCATACACATTTTCTGTACGAAATGTACTTTTCTAGTTATTAGCATGTGCCTTTATAATGTCTACACACATTTGGCTGTTTTTTAGTCAGGATAATAAGACATTATAAAGGGGTCATACATGCTGATGTCAAATTTTGCAAAGCATTGCACATCATATTGCATTATACTTGCAGCGTAAGCACAAATTATAGGGCGCTCATTGAATAGCTCACAAATAGTCCTTCGTAGCTCAATTGGTAGATCATACAGCTTGTAACGCCAGGGTAGTGGGTTCGATCCCCGGGGCCACCCATACGTTAAAATGTATGCACGCATGACTGTAAGTCGCTTTGGATAAAAGCGTCTGCTAAATGGCATATTATGTGTCCAATGACATTTGTGCTAAATGATAGCCTCATACAAATCTTATTTCACAGCTGTACTGATAGAGCTCTGAAGAGAAGCATGCACTTGGAAAGGGAGAGGAGAACGAAAGAGAGAGAGTGTATGTGTGCGTGAGAGAGAATGGGTGGGGGGAGGCTTTGTTAATGGAAAAATCTAAACCAACTACGCATCTCATTATCGCGTGGCTTATTTATGCATCTCATCTCATCCATATTCCCTTGAACCAAAGCGCTCACTCATACTGAGCCAACAACACAGCACTGGACCATCAGAGAGTAGAAAGCAAGAAAGCAAAGTTAAAAGACATTATGGTAGAGGCACTTTCCGCGGGGTTGGCATAAAGCGTATGTTTACGGTTTTCAGGGATACAGTATTTTCAACCTAACTTCCGTTTCCCCTGAAAAACAGATGTGGGGACTCCGCTCAGGCATCTTTTAACGCCTGCTAGGTTAGGTTATGGTAGAGGTAGACTCAGACTGTTCCCAATATACTGGTTGCAATGACATCAGGCTGACATCTTTTGTAATGTCATGGTCAGGGTGTTTAAACAGCTTTACAGTGACCAGAAAAATACCTCCCCATAACCAGAAAAAAAGTTTACAGATGCAGTATTTTTGGGGCGCAAATCACAGCACAGCAGAGCACAGCATGCTGCACTTGCATGGGGAGAAAATATTTGACTGCATTCAATTTACCCTTCAGTAAGCCCTGTGCCCCTTGGTTACTGTTTCAACCTCGGACAACATTTTCCCGGGAAACCCAATTCCCCATTTAGGAGCTAACTAGTGCTCTCAAATCATATCCTGATGTCGACAAAATATGTATTCATAACATTGCTAACAAAGCTAGTTAACATACATTCTGAGAAAACAAGGGTAAGACACGCCTGGTGCCCAAATTTATGACGTTTGTTGCGCAGTGAGAGTCGAGTGGAGACAAACGGATTCAGTTCAGTCAGTGTTGCCAACTTAGCGACTTTGTCGCTATATTTAGCGAGTTTTCAGACCCCTCTAGCGACACATTTTCAAAAAAGCGACTAGCGACAAATCTAGCGACTTTTTCTGGTGTTATTGGAGACTTTTGGAGACTCTGACGTGAAAGCACGTATCGGTCTTACTCTTCTCAACGAGCAGCGGGTGCTGCCGTGGGCCCCACCCCTACCCAAAGCATTCACAGGCGGCCCAGTCCTCGCGCAGCAGTACCTCCCAGCTGCAGTCAGAACAGATGTTCACCCCTCTTCGTCCAGACTGCAAATGAATCGCACATGCGGGAAGCCACCGTTGGCTGATCCCGCCCTGGCTTACATTCAGGGCGGGATGTAAATGTAGGGTGTTTTTTACTCAATTTTTGTCTCTCCCACGAAGTTATTCCTCTTTCCTACAGCGTCCATCACAATTACATGCACATGGCCAATAATGCAAATTAGGTGATGACGTCATTGAGCGACTTCTAGCGACTTTTAGGACAGCCAATAGCTACTTTCCTTACTGAGGAGTTGGCAACACTGAGTTCAGTCAGTCGTCCTGATGAGCCCTTCCCAGCTAGCTAGTTTGTGGCTAGAAACTTCAGCGAGAATTTGGAACTTTTCTGCCGAAGTTGGGACTTGGGAGTGTTCAGAATCATTCCGTTTGTATCGGAGTAATAGTATATATTATTATTTTTACTAAAATGTAACATTAGATGTTAATGCCATAGTTGTACATTTTTGGTGAAAATCACTACAATAAATGTGATTTACAGTGGGGAAAAAAAGTATTTAGTCAGCCACCAATTGTGCAAGTTCTCCCACTTAAAAAGATGAGAGAGGCCTGTAATTTTCATCATAGGTACACGTCAACTATGACAGACAAAATGAGATTTTTTTTCTCCAAAAATCACATTGTAGGATTTTTAATGAATTTATTTGCAAATTATGGTGGAAAATAAGTATCTGGTCAATAACAAAAGTTTCTCAATACTTTGTTATATACCCTTTGTTGGCAATGACACAGGTCAAACGTTTTCTGTAAGTCTTCACAAGGTTTTCACACACTGTTGCTGGTATTTTGGCCCATTCCTCCATGCAGATCTCCTCTAGAGCAGTGATGTTTTGGGGCTGTCGCTGGGCAACATGGACTTTCAACTCCCTCCAAATATTTTCTATGGGGTTGAGATCTGGAGACTGGCTAGGCCACTCCAGGACCTTGAAATGCTTCTTACGAAGCCACTCCTTCGTTGCCCGGGCGGTGTGCTTGGGATCATTGTCATGCTGAAAGACCCAGCCACGTTTCATCTTCAATGCCCTTGCTGATGGAAGGAGGTTTTCACTCAAAATCTCACGATACATGGCCCCATTCATTCTTTCCTTTACACGGATCAGTCGTCCTGGTTCCTTTGCAGAAAAACAGCCCCAAAGCATGATGTTTCCACCCCCATGCTTCACAGTAGGTATGGTGTTCTTTGGATGCAACTCAGCATTCTTTGTCCTCCAAATACGACGAGTTGAGTTTTTACCAAAAAGTTATATTTTGGTTTCATCTGACCGTATGACATTCTCCCAATCCTCTTCTGGATCATCCAAATGCACTCTAGCAAACTTCAGACGGGCCTGGACATGTACTGGCTTAAGCAGGGGGCCACGTCTGGCACTGCAGGATTTGAGTCCCTGGCGGCGTAGTGTGTTACTGATGGTAGGCTTTGTTACTTTGGTCCCAGCTCTCTGCAGGTCATTCACTAGGTCCCCCCGTGTGGTTCTGGGATTTTTGCTCACCGTTCTTGTGATCATTTTGACCCCACGGGGTGAGATCTTGCGTGGAGCCCCAGATCGAGGGAGATTATCAGTGGACTTGTATGTCTTCCATTTCCTAATAATTGCTCCCACAGTTGATTTCTTCAAACCAAGCTGCTTACCTATTGCAGATTCAGTCTTCCCAGCCTGGTGCAGGTCTACAATTTTGTTTCTGGTGTCCTTTGACAGCTCTTTGGTCTTGGCCATAGTGGAGTTTGGAGTGTGACTGTTTGAGGTTGTGGACAGGTGTCTTTTATACTGATAACAAGTTCAAACAGGTGCCATTAATACAGGTAACGAGTGGAGGACAGAGGAGCCTCTTAAAGAAGTTGTTACAGGTCTGTGAGAGCCAGAAATCTTGCTTGTTTGTAGGTGACCAAATACTTATTTTCCACCATAATTTGCAAATAAATTCATTAAAAATCCTACAATGTGATTTTCTGGGATTCTTTTTCTCAATTTGTCTGTCATAGTTGACGTGTACCTATGATGAAAATTACAGGCCTCTCTCATCTTTTTAAGTGGGAGAACTTGCACAATTGGTGGCTGACTAAATACTTTTTTTCCCCACTGTAGCTGTCACACTGGCCTGATATTGGCTACAATATCTAGCAGCTATCCTCTCCTTACTGCAGCAAGCGGGAGCGACAGACACTATGCCCCGTGTTGTTGTGTTGCCGGTTGCAGCGCAAACTCTCCCCATTGAACAGTGTAGACTGTATCACCGTGACATCCAGATGGTTACTACCAATATTACAAGTTATTTCTCATGTACTGTAGGCTGCTATCCTATTCGAAATAAAATGAAGTGGGATGGAACAAATTGTAGATGGTGACCAATACTACAAGCTATTCTCGAAATAAACATAACTTTCTTTTACAAGTTTTAACTAGCGCCATGCAGCTGTTGTTGCCAGCTAGCTAGTATAAACTAGCTGGGAAGGGCTCATCAGGATTACTGACTGAACCGAATCCATTCATCTCCACACTCAACTCTCAGCAGCGTGTCCGTATACAGTAGCCTCTCCCAGAAAACAAGTTATATTAAGTGGCTAGCTAGCGTTAGCAACATTTGGTGGTCAATGAGAGTGAGAGTTAGCTAACCAGCTGAGCAAGCAAACAATGTAACAAAAGTATAATTTCGGATTCGAAAAATACTCCATCAACAGGCTCTGCATTTCAGGAGTCACAGTAGCAAGTACTTCTGGTGCACTGTTAAATTATTTAGCCATTTAAACATACATTTTTTGAAGAAATCTCTCAGTTTTTGCCATAGCCTCACTGGCTTTCACGCAATTTAAACGTGAGCTTGTCGGAGGTGTCGGACTCTACTACAGTTGCTATCCATTGGAGCACTGCAGGTTGGCCAAAATTATGGGGCGGGGCTTAGCGAAAGGTCAAATTGAAATAACAAATGCCATATCCTCTTTCTTTCACAGATTTTGACACAGGCGAGTGCAAAATGCTGTGCTGTGACACACGCAAAAAAATTACTGCATCTGTACAACCAAATAATGACATTATAACATCCTATTGCAAATTTTGCCCGCTCACTGTAATAAACAAATTGTCATTTGAAACTATACCAAAATAATCAGACAATACTGAGAAATTCGTCACGCTATTTTAGTGTTTCCCGCTCCAAACTGATGATCATATGGAATTGATGTGATAATGGACAAGTGTTCTGTGTTTCGTCTCTATAACTCACACTGGTCTCGAAGAGTTTCTCCCATTTGGGCTTTAGGTAGAAGACCACTCCCTTCCATGCACCTGGTAGGGTGGCACCACGGATCAACAGGATGAAGAGCACCACATAGGGCAAGGTGGCCGTCACCCACACTACCTGGCACGGGACAGGCAAAGCAGCAGAGAGAGAGAGAGAGAAAGAGATGGGGGAGAGATGAGAAGGGAAGATCAATGGAGATTATAGCCAAGGAAATCACACTGGACATTGCATTGTAATGACCCTAGTCTTGATAAGCCCATTATGAACACCCCCAACTGAAATATTTATCTGTGGCTAGTGCGTTAGCCTTGGGGCCGGATGACCCGGAACGGTACAAACCACAGCCGTTTTGCTACAATGTACAACAATGATCCGGAAATTATCCCCCTCACACTGATACGGTTTCCTGGAAGAGTGGCTTGGACATGTTACCTTCCCTGATGTCTTCACTCCCTTCCAGAGACTGAAGTAAACGATAGTGAAGATGAGAAAGAGGCAGAGCATCAGCTGCCAGCGAACACCCCCCACGTTATGCAGCCCATCGGACTTGTGGATCTCCAGAACATTCCTCCTGTAGTGGAAAAATACATTAGTACTGTATTTACATTTACTTACCTTTACCTGTAGGCTTACCTACACTGCTAAAACTAAGGGTGCCTTGTGGTTCGATATAGATCCATTTCTAGGGCCATATATGAAGTGAGCCATCTTTTTGGTTCGATAGATGGAGCACCATTTTTTCTAGCATTGTGCTGGGTGAATTTCTTGTTTTCTATAAGCTTTACATAATCACAGCATGTTTCAGCACTTGTAAGCAAGTGTTTATTTAAACATTTAAATGACAATACAATGAGAATGATGTTGAAACACTTGAATGCAATGAAATGATAACAACGATGTCAACCCATTGACGTGGCTATTCAAGATCATGGTATTCCCTGTGCTGTCTGCCACTTACATGCACTTACGTGTAAAATTCCTCAGCAGGTGACCTGGAGTAGTTGTTCCAGGTCACGTTATCTTTCAGGAAGTAGTTGGTGCAGTTTTCAGTGTTCCACGCGTTGTCACAGTTGGTCCAGGGCAGGACGCTGGCGAAGGATGAGTAGAAGTAGAAGAGTGCCCAGGCGATGATGGTGTTGTAGTAGAAGGAGACATACAACGCGATGATACAGATCGCATACCCAATGCCTGAAACCATGGACAGATGGATCAGTGAGATCAGAGATTAGAAACATGTGCCTCTATGCAAATAGTCCGAATATGCCATTTTGAAATGACCAATTACTATGTTGTTATAGGCCTAGTATAAGTTTCATATACTGAGGACTGTACTGTACTTTACCTTTCAATTGACCCACTTTCCAAATTATTCCATAGTTACCTTATCAATAAACTGTTGAATTGTCAACAGCAAGGGTCACGTGATCTTGAGAAGAAGATGTGTAGTATGCAAGTAATGTAAAGATGTGAACTGGTGTGTGGTTGTGAGGTGGGTTGTTTTGTACAGTGAGGGAAAAAAGTATTTGATCCCCTGCTGATTTTGTATGTTTGCCCACTGACAAAGAAATGATCAGTCTATAATTTTAATGGTAGGTTTATTTCAACAGTGAGAGAAAGCAAAAATCCAGAAAAACGCATGTCAAAAATGTTATAAATTGATTTGCATTTTAATGAGGGAAATAAGTATTTGACCCCCTCTCAATCAGAAAGATTTCTGGCTTCCAGGTGTCTTTTATACAGGTAATGAGCTGAGATTAGGAGCACACTCTTAAAGGGAGTGATCCTAATCTCAGTTTGTTACCTGTATAAAAGACACCTGTCCACAGAAGCAATCAATCAATCAGATTCCAAACTCTCCACCATGGCCAAGACCAAAGAGCTCTCCAAGGATGTCAGGGACAAGATTGCAGACCTACATAAGGCTGGAATGGGCTACAAGACCATCGCCAAGCAGCTTGGTGAGAAGGTGACAACAGTTGGTGCGATTATTCGCAAATGGAAGAAACACAAAATAACTGTCAATCTCCCTCGGCCTGGGGCACCATGCAAGATCTCACCTCGTGGAGTTGCAATGATCATGAGAACGGTGAGGAATCAGCCCAGAACTACACGGGAGGATCTTGTCAATGATCTCAAGGCAGCTGGGACCATAGTCACCAAGAAAACAATTGGTAACACACTACGCCGTGAAGGACTGAAATCATGCAGTGCCCGCAAGGTCCCCCTGCTCAAGAAAGCACATATACAGGGCCGTCTGAAGTTTTCCAATGAACATCTGAATGATTCAGAGGAGCACTGGGTGAAAGTGTTGTGGTCAGATGAGACCAAAACCAAGCTCTTTGGCATCAACTCAACTCGCCGTGTTTGGAGGAGGAGGAATGCTGCCTATGACCCTAAGAAAACCATCCCCACCGTCAAACATGGAGGTGGAAACATTATGCTTTGGGGGTGTTTTTCTGCTAAGGGGACAGGACAACTTCACCGCATCAAAGGGACGATGGACGGGGCCATGTACCATCAAATCTTGGGTGAGAACCTCCTTCCCTCAACCAGGGCATTGAAAATGGGTCGTGGATGGGTATTCCAGCATGACAACGCCCCAAAACTCACGGCCAAGGCAACAAAGGAGTGGCTCAAGAAGAAGAACATTAAGGTCCTGGAGTGGCCTAGCCAGTCTCCAGACCTTAATCCCTTAGAAAATCTGTGGAGGGAGCTGAAGGTTCGAGTTGCCAAAGTCAGCCTCGAAACCGTAATGACTTGGAGAAGATCTGCAAAGAGGAGTGGAACAAAATCCGTCCTGAGATGTGTGCAAACCTGGTGGCCAACTACAAGAAACGTCTGACCTCTGTGATTGCCAACAAGGGTTTTGCCACCAAGTACTAAGTCATGTTTTGCAGAGGGGTCAAATATTTATTTCCCTCATTAAAATGCAAATCAATTCATAACATTTTTGACATTCATTTGTCTGGATTGTTTTGTTGTTATTCTGTCTCTCACTGTTCAAATAAACCTACCATTAAAATTATAGACTGATCATCAGCAGGGGATCAAATACTTTTTTTCCCTCACTGTATATGATGCTAGTCCTACCTTTGAAGATGGGGCATATGTGTTTCCATATGGATATGGCCCCAGTTCTGTGGAACTGTCCCAGGGCCAGTTCCATGTAAAATAGTGGCACCCCTCCAAAGATGGCCATGACAATGTAGGGGATGAGGAAAGCCCCTGTACAGAGATGTAAAGAGGGAAAATCACAGGTCTGACTCATTACTACACGGAGATCCCATTGTGTTGATGAAGATGTAGGCCTAACCTCATCCCCAGGCTATTGCCACAGCACAAGTGTCAGATGCACAAGATGTGAGATGCATTAGGAAGGACAGTCACTTTGCAAATTGTTACTTTTACTACTTAGTAGTTTAATATGTAAGGACATCTGGTAACACATGTAACACATTATGATGATGAATTGTAAGACATGCAGTTATAATGTATGTAAGACTTTTAAGTCATGTATGACCCCTTTATAATGTATTGTAACCATTTAATAATGAGCAGCCAGTTTAAGACAGTTGAAATGTTATGCATAGAGAGACAGAACATATTATTTATAAGCTATAACATTAAAAGGCTCATACATTATTATTAACTCATAATAAACTGGGGGGCGAACATTTTTATTTGGCCTTACTGCTATTAGCCCATACAAACGCATTGAATAACATATTCACTACATGGAACAACAGATAGTCCCCATAAAAAATCTAAAGGAAGTTTGTTCTGAAGTGTCTGTCCTATATCTGACAGATATAAGAAAGATCTGGAAACATAATTTTATTTTATTGTTATGTTATTTTTGGCTCTAAACAGTCTCCAGATATACTTCAATTCATTTTTTCAACTGGTACCGGTGACCTTCAGATGAGTCTTGTGAGGCCTGTGGGCGTCCTAAAGCAAAACAAAATGCTTTTGGGGGTCATAGAGCAAAACGGAGAACACCATGGTGTTCGTGAGAGTCTCATCTTTCCATAGAGGAGTCAAACCGTTTGGCCAAATCGTTCAGACGCTACAGACGATTTTGTAAGAAGACCAATTTTGGGGATGTTTCACGGTCTGACAAACACCGCTCTAGCTCTGTCACCTTTCACTGCAGATGCGGAAGTGCGACATCGGCGGATATCTCTAGTTTCAACTGACAGACTTTTATGGGGATGCGGACATCGACATTATACCTGGATGCTTTAGGTCTAGTGTTTATCTTTAACGAAGTAATCAGCAGTTAAAACAATAACAACCCGTTTTCCCCGCCCCTGTTACGGCAAAAAGCTGAGAGATGGGGATGGAGAAATCTAACCACTCTAAAATGTATAGACAGAGCAATGGATGCAAGGACTGACCATTCATGATATTAAAATTATCGTTTTAACCATGTTTTGAGGATAAATAGTGTTTCTTTACATTTACTTTGTTTACAAACATTGGATTAACACATGCTTATATGTTGGGTTATGATGAGGCACGACAGTTGAACTAAGCGATCATGAGGCACTTATAAGTTATTCTTCAAGAATCAATGGGTAAGTAACATGAATTTATAAGCCAAAAAATGGATGTAGCAACTGCAGATTGGCCCTTTAAATACACTTTAACGACTTTTTTGTATTTTGTTCAAAGGGAAATATTTTTGCTCAAATATATGTGCATAGCCTCTATGTTTTGGCGACAGTTTTTTAATTGAAATTAATTACATTCATATCATCCAAAGATTCGAAATGTCTTTGCTTTTTAATCAGACCATCTGTCAAATGATTGGTACACTCTTAGAAAAAAAAAAGGTGTTATCTAGAACCAAAAAGGGTTCTTCGGCTGTCCCCATAGAAGAACCCTTTGAATAACCCTTTTTGGTTCCAGGTAGAACCCTTTCCACAGAGAGTTCTACATGTAGGGTACAAAGGGTTCTACCTGAAACCAAAAAGGGTTCTCCTACAGATACAGCCAAATAACCCTTTTGGAACCTTTTTTCTAAGAGTGTAGGGGTTTCTGTATATCCCTACACATTTTATAACTTAAAACAAATATTTATTCAGAACAGAAGTTACATGCAAACTGATACATGGTCTTGCCTACCTTTAGACAGTGGTGGGAAAAGTACCTAATTGTGCTACTTGAGTAAGAGTAAAGATACCTTAATAGAAAATGAGTAAAAGTTAAAGCCACCCAGTAAAATACTACTTGAGTAAAAGTCTAAAAATATTTGGTTTTAAATATACTTAAGTATCAAAAGTAAATGTAATTGCTAAAATATACTTAAGTATCAAAAGTAAAAGTATAAATAATTTAAAATTCCTTATATTAAGCAAACCAGACGGCACCATTTTCTTGTTTTTTAAATGTGCTGATAGCCAGGGGCACACTGCAACACTCAGACATCATTTACAAAGGAAGCATGTGTGTTTAGTGAGTCCGCCAGATCAGAGGCAGTAGGGATGACCAGGGATGTTCTCTTGATAAGTGCGTGAATTGGACCATTTTCATGTCCTGCTAAGCATTCAAAATGTAATGAGTACTTTTGGGTGTCAGGAAAAAGTACATGATTTTCTTTAGGAATATAAATTGTAAAGTAGAGTACAGATACAAAAAAAAAAAAGAAGCATTTATGCCACTGTATGGTGCATTAAATTAGTGCAACAAGTGAAATATTCCCTCTAGTCAAACCGCAAACGGTAGCCTTCTACAAATGAGGTGCAAACACAACGATAATTACAGATGAGATACAAAATAAACAGGTTTTATGCAGCCAAATACAATATTTAGTTACTTTTTAATTCATTTATAGCCTATAATCTCGACAGGCTAGACATTTTCCACTTTCCGTTTTCCATAACACTGATCAGATTAGAGGCAGGCCTATGTTTTGTAGCCTCAATCAGTACCGCGTCCGACAACATTTGTGACATTTTAAACTAGTCCATTTGAGAACGCTGTCTTTTCGAACTCATCTTGGCGGATGAACTTTCCTAATAGGCTAGGCTATATTTAAATAATTCTAAACAGGAAAACCTATGCTGTACGTAGTACAATACTTTATTTACTTCAGTGTGTTTCAGTAATTTTGTTTGGAGTGGGTTGCAGGCTCTCGAGCATGTGAAGCTAATTTCAGCACCATGGACAGCAGGAGGTATAGCCTACCCAAGTGCGCGCATGAGAGCCACTATCCTTATCAAATCCTTCATTCCAAACATATGCTATCTGAATAATAATTGTTAATAATTATATTCAGCCTACTATCGTATCTAATATCAAGAAAGAGGAGACCACATACATGTAAGTAAGGTCATAGATTAGCCCACTAAAATAGAAAGCAAATAATTAAAGAATTAGAAAAACTCTTACCGCCTCCATTTTGGTAACAAATGTATGGAAATCTCCACACGTTTCCTAAGTCTACCGCGAAGCCAATGACTGATAAAAGAAAATCCATCTTTTTGCTCCATTTGTCTCTTGAGTTCCTCTGTGTGATCACAGGTACCGGCACAGGGTTGTTGTTGTAACCGGTGTTTGAGGGGCCCTGGGCGCTCAGGCTTCCCGTTGGGGTCGCTGTGTCTTGGCGGGTCATGGTTGGCGGACTATCAAAAGCCAGTCCGCCGTCTGAGCAGGTAAGTTTGAAAAAACTGCCAAGCTTCAGAGACACAGAAGATTCTCATATTATGGGCGATGACAGGTCAGAGTGGGAGGTGTAGGAGGGACTGCACATTGCTACTTGATAGAGTTGTCAATCACTAGGCTCGTGGAGTAGAACTCCCTCTGCACACATTAATATCAACAAAATGAGCTCCACTCCAACATTGATGAGTTTTAGGTTCTCTAAATCTGGCTACAATTGTAGAAACCCTGGCCTGTATTAATGTACATTTTAGAAGCTATTATTTAACAGCACTAGCCTATAGGCTTTTCAAGAGGTCTACTATTTGGTCTACTATTTGATAAGCGGCTTGGATGAATTTATGTATTGTTTTAGGTTCCCTAAAGCCCAATATCCTTATTAGGCTACTATGTGTGTCTTGATGTATCTTGAGAGAATACATTTTTGAATACATTTGAGAAATAATTGTAGTATTTAGTATTAATGAAGGCTGTGGATCTAAATGGTAACTTGCGATGGAGGGGAGGAGGAATTAAGCTACTCAAATTCACTGTATGCAAATGTTCTAATCTACCACATCTTTAAAGAGGTCTTGACCTCATGGCACCATGGTAGCATGCAGAATCATGGTAACCTACAAGTCCCAATCTTGACAGTATGATACAACTTTTTAAAGCTCTTGTCAGTGCTGAATCCACACCTGACAATGCAAAGTACCCTGGCAAAAGACGGCTAAAGAAAGGTATGTGTTGGTGTATGTGTGTGTACGAGCGTGTGTGTTTGTGTGAATGAAATACACGTGAACTTTGACCGTTTTGACCTCTTTAAGTACACAAAGTCTTAAGGCGTCGTGGCTTCCTGAGTCCAGGGTAATGCTTTTGGTGAGGAGACAACAGCACAGACCAGAAGCTCTGTGGCTTAACTGGACTCGTTAGGGAAACCTAATTAAATGACCTTGTAATTGAATCCACCACTTTTAGCACTGGCCGATTTCAAAAGTCCTAAAGAGTCATAACCAAATATACAGACTGTCATAATCTTGCAGGTCAATGAGTGGAGTGCACCAAATGAGGTTAGTTTGGAAAATGGATATGACAATGTGATTGGACGAGCGGCATCCAACACCATCATGAACTTGTCACTTAAAGCCAAATGGTAGTTGCTGCTGCCTGGCCTGTCTAAAGTTTCCTCCTCTAATGTGGAGAGTCATACAGTAGGTTACTGATGCTATACTCTTGTTTTATACTGTTAAGACAAATAATTTCAATTAAAATGCGGGTAAATCGTTTTTAGAGGGGAATAGACAATAATAATCCCAAGGCCACATGATATTTACAGTATGCCTACCGTGAGTGTCAAAAGCTGTCTTGTGTTTTTATAATCATTCATACACTACATTACCAAATGTATGTGGACACCTGCTCGTCGAACATCTCATTCCAAAATCATGGGCATTAATATGGAGTTGGTCCCCGCTTTTCTGCTATAACAGCCTCCACTCTTCTGGGTCTTTCCACTAGAAGTTGGAACATTGCTGCGGGCACTTGCTTCCATTCAGCCAAAAGAGCATTATTAAGGTTGGGCACTGATGTTGGGCGATTAGGCCTGGCTCGCAGTCGGTGTTCCAATTCATCTCAAAGGTGTTCGATAGGGTTGAGGTCAGGGCTCTGTGCAGGCCAGTCAAGTTTTTCCACACCGATCTCGACAAACCATTTCTGTATGGACCTCGCTTTGTGCACAGGGGAATTGTCATGCTGACACAGGAAAGGGCCTTCCCCAAACTTTCTTCAAGATTGCGTAGCAGTGCGGTCGTGTTCTCTTGTGTGTCCATGTAAATAGCCTGTTTTTTGTATTTTACGTATATATTTCCCTATCACGCTTTTCATCCTTCTACTAAATATACTTTCTTGCAACCCGCTTCACTCAATGCGGAACGGATTTTTATTATTTACTCACCTTTATCTAGAATCTCCAGTTGAAACTAGCCAGCCAGCTAACTAGCTAACTAGCTACTTGCTATTAGCCGACGTTAGCGGTTTTCACCCAGAACATCGGATTTTCTGCCGGAATAACTGAATCACTGGACCATAACACCGGATCTAGCTAGCCGCAACCGAATGGATGTCGCTGTAGGCTAATCACCACTGCCCCCGTAGCACCAGTTAGCCATGAGCCTTGAGCTAGCCCCGGCTATCTACCTCTCTGTCTACCGGACGGGAGTAGCCAGCTAACCAGCTAACTAGCTACTTGCTATTAGCCACCGTTAGCAGATTTTCTCCATTGTCCGTGGCTATCGGCCAGTCTGCACTGTCTGCACAGCGAGTTATCGACCCAGAACCTATCGGATTTTCTGCCGGAATCACTGAATCACTGGACCATTAACACTGGATAATCGCAACTAGCTAACTGCAACCAAATGAACTTTGTTGTTGGCTAATCAGCCTTGAGCTAGCCTTGAGTCAGGCACATCTCCCGGCTATCTACCTCTCTGTCAATCGGACGGGACCTCCTAGAGTCGACACGGAGCCCTGCCGATCCATCACGACTGGTCTGCCGACGTAATCGTCTGTGGTTTCAACAGGCTTCCTGTTGCGACGACCACGAAGATCCATCTGCTAGCCCCGGCCCGCTAGCACACGCAAACTACAACCGTGCTTCCTGCTCGCTGTGCTGAAGCACCAATTTGAACTGCTCTCGGACTCACATATTGCTGTTCACTGGACTTTATGATCACTCAGCTGCACAGCTGATGCCTGCTGGACTGTTCCTTTACGCGGTACCCTGTCCTGTTTATTCTGTTTAGCCTCAGCCCAAACTTTATCGCCATTACCAGTTGTTGTCTTAGCTCTCTCTAATAACACCTGTGATTGCTTTATGCCTCTCTCCCATGTCAATATGCCTTGCCTATTGCTGTTCCAGTTAGATCTTATTATACAATTTCACTGTAGAACCCCAAGTCCCTCTCAAACTGCCTCAAATAGTTCCTTTGTTCCACCCCCATACACGCCGAGACCGGCTCAATCGGTGCCTCCAGTGATGCTATCTCTACCCAACGCTTAGGTTTACCTCCACTGTACTCATATCCTTCCATATCCTTGTCTGTACATAATGCCCTGAATCTTTTCTACAACGCCCGGAAATCTGCCCCCTTTATTCTCTGTACCCAATGCACTAGAAGACCAGTTCTTAAAGCCTTTAGCCGTATCCTTATTCTAGTCCTCCTCTGTTCCTCTGGTGATGTAGAGGCTAACCCAGGCCCTGCAGCCCCCAGTATCACTCCTACTCCCCAGGAGCTATCATTTGTTGACTTCTGTAACCGTAAAAGCCTTGGTTTTCTGCACGTTAATATCAGAAGCCTCCTTCCTAAGTTTGAGTTATTCACTGCGTTAGCACACTCCGCCAACCATGATGTTCTAGCAGTGTCTGAATCCTGGCTTAGGAAGGCCACCAAAAATTCTGAAATGTCCATCCCCAACTACAACATTTTCCGTCTAGATAGAACTGCCAAAGGGGGTGGAGTTGCAATCTACTGTAGAGATAGCCTGCAGAGCTCTATCATACTATCCAGGTCTGTGCCCAAAACAGTTTGAGCTTCTACTTCTAAAAATCCACCTTTCCAGAAATAAGTCTCTCACTGTTGCCGCTTGCTACAGACCCCCCTCAGCCCCCAGCTGTGCCCTGGACACCATATGTGAATTGATTGCCCCCCATTTATCCTCAGAGTTCGTACTGCTTGGTGACCTAAATTGGGATATGCTTAACACCCCGGCCATCCTACAATCCAAACCAGATGCCCTCAATCTCACACAAATTATCAACGAACCTACCAGGTACAACCTAAATCGGTAAACATGGGTACCCTCATAGATATCATCCTGACTAACTTACCCTCTAAATACACCTGTATCCTGGATGGATATATATCTCATTCCGTCAGTAGAGGATGCCTGGTTGTTCTTTAAAAGTAATTTCCTCTCAATCTTAAATAAACATGCCCCATTAAAAAAGACAGAACTAAGAACAGATATAGCCCCTGGTTCTCCTCAGACTTGACTGCCCTTGACCAGCACAAAAACATAATGTGGCGTATTGCATTAGCATCAAATAGCCCCCGCGATATGCAACTTTTCAGGGAAGTGAGGAACCAATATACACAAGCAGTTAGGAAAGCAAAGGCTAACTTTTTCAAACAGAAATATGCATCCTGTAGCACTAACTCCAAAAAGTTTTGGGACACTGTAAAGTCCATGGAGAATAAGAGCACTTCCTCCCAGCTGCCCACTGCACTGAGGCTAGGAAACACTATCACCATCGATAAATCTACAATAATCGAGAATTTCAACAAGCATTTTGCTACGGCTGGCCATGCTTTCCACCTGGCTACCACTACACCGGCCACCAGCTCTGCACCCTCCGCTGCAACTTGCCCATGCCCCCCCCGCTTCTCCTTCACACAAATTCAGACAGCTGATGTTCTGAAAGAGCTGCAAAATCTGGACCCCTACAAATCATCTGGGCTAGACAATCTGGACCCTTTCTTTCTAAAACTAGCTGCCGAAATTGTCGCAACCCCTATTACTAGCCTGTTCAACCTCTCTTTCGTAACGTCTGAGATCCCCAGAGATTGGAAAGCTGCCGCGGTCATCCCCCTCTTCAAAGGGGGTGACACTCTAGATCCAAACTGTTACAGACCTATATCCATCCTGCCCTGCCTTTCGAACGTTTTTGAAAGCCAAGTTAACAAACAGATCACCGACCATTTCGAATCCCACCATACCTTCTCCGCTATGCAACCCGGTTTCCGAGCTGGTCATGGGTGCACCTCAGCCACGCTCAAGGTCCTAAATGATATTATAACCGCGATCGATAATAGACAGTACTGTGCAGCCGTCTTCATCGACCTGGCCAAGGCTTTCGACTCTGTCAACCACCGCATTCTTATTGGCAGACTAAATAGCCTTGGTTTCTCTAATGACTGCCTCACCTGGTTCACCAACTACTTCTCAGATAGAGTTCTATGTGTCAAAT